TAGATAGATAGATAGATAGATAGATAGATAGATAGATAGATAGATAGATAGATAGATAGATAGATAGATTGATTGATTGATTATAGTGGATGAATGGCAGATGGATGAATGAAAGAGGAATGGATGGATGATATTGCAGATAGAGAGAGAGAGATAATAGTAAATAGGTAAATGATAGATGATGGATGGATGGGGAGAGAGCAATGGATGGATGGGTGTATGATAGATGAATGGATTGATGGATAATGGAAGATAGACAGACAGACACTGCATGCCTTTTACAAGCAGCTGGTGCCTCGAGCTGCATAGATAGACCTCTAGTCTCATTGACGAACCTGGCCTTTTGCAAGGGATATCAGGCTAGATTTTGGTGAGAACCTAGTGATCTTTCCTTGTTGGATCCAGCAGCTTGGGAAAAAAAAAGTGAACAGATCTCTCCAAACTGCCTAAGCCAGAACAGGGACCGGATTGGTCAGATCATCTGCGCTAGGCCGCAAGTCGGCCTACTACCCACCCACGGAGTAAATTGCAATTCATCGAATCTCGTCGTTCCAATTTAATTTAAATTTGTCCCGCCCTTCACTATGTCCCCATTTCCGACAAGTTTGCAAACCGAGCAGTGGCTACCGCTGGGCGCAGCCCCAAAAGTTGGGCCGCTTGATTTGTGAGAGCTGAAAAATCTTCAAGGGTTTTGGCGGCGTGCGCCAGCCCTTTGAATGGAGAACCCGACATTGTTTTCTGTGGCGAAGGAAATGCAAAATGAAATGATGTGCATTTCCCATTTAGGGATTTTTGTGTTCTTTAACTGGGACGGGCCTTTGGAGCAGGGATGCTGGATATTTTTAGCAAGGCTGAAGGAAAAGAAGCTGAGGTTACTCTCCAGCTACAAAACCTGGGAAGGCTTTTCAGCTGCAATGTCCCGACAGCCAAGGGAGGACACGAAACGGGGGCAGTTTGCATGCTTGGGAGTGAATTGGCGGTGAGTCCGAAACTTAGCAGAACAAAAGGGGAACTTTTCTTTTTCAACGGGAAAAAAATGGACAGTCTTGTCGTCTCGGTGAGGAATGACAGGCCTCACCATCTACTTTGGGTATATGCAGAATTAAGAGAAGAATTTATTTATTGCATTTATATGCCGAGCACTTTTTTTCTCAGCTTTGGCCATTTTAAATGGGGTGGACTTCAACTCCCAGAATTCAACTCCCCGACTTCAACTCCCAGCATGGCTGGCTGGGGAATTCTGGGAATTGAAGTCCACCCATCTTAAAGGGGCCACGCTTGAGAAACACTGATCTATAGAGACTGTCAGTGGTTCATTACGGCTAGTCCTCATCTTATAACTCTTTGTTTGGCGACCATTTGATGTTGCAATAACTTCGGGGGTGGGGGGAAATGAGAACTGGTTCTCACACTTACGACGGTCGCAGAATCCCCACGGTCACAGTAATCAAAAATCCAGGCGATTGGTAACTGCCATATATTTATGGGTTGTATGGTTCAAAAAATTAAATAAAAAAGCAACTTAGGCACGATTTGCTGCTCCCAGATCAGGAGGCGGGAGAATCACGTGCCTCCTTTGCATAAGGAATTTTTCGCCTTTTAACCCTTGCTTAACTGAGCAAGGGTTAAAAGGTGAAAAATTCCTTATGCAAAGGAGGCCCATAGTTCTCTCGCCTCCCCCTGCAGTTAGCACTAAGCAGACTCAGTCATCCACTGTGACTCTGGAATCTGACAGCAATTACCTGAGCCTTTTTAATTATTTTAATTATTCTTTTCTTTTCCTCATGACACTGGTGAGGCCCCGCCTCCCCTGACTGCACGTCCCTGGTTGTATCAGCATCATTTGTGACCTTCCCAAATGACATCTGACCAGCAAAACCAATTTGGGGGGGTGGGGGAGGCACATTTTCTTAATGACCTTATTGTGATTCAACTGCAGTGATTCTCTTAATAACCATGACCAAAAAAAAAAGGCCATAAAATCGGGCAGGACTCACTTAACAACCGTCTGTGCTTCGCAACAGAAATTCTGGTCCCAAATATCGTCATACGTCAAGGACTTACGGGGGAATTGCAATTCAGATCTTCTGCTTTTGCTCCTCCCGATCCAAACTTTTTTGGATTGTAGTAACCACCGCAGTGGGGTAGCTTTCTAAGGTCGTAATTGCCTGAAAAATTCCTAAGGCAACAGGGTTGAAAACTTGACCCAAATTAGACAGAAGGGCCAAGTTAGTCAACCGTGGTCTTGCTTGGATGCCCTTCTGACCTACGCTTCCATAGAAAGCAAGAAGCAAAATTTTGGTCCCAAGAAAACCTCTTTTATTTACATGACTGTGAATTCCTTTCATTCGCAAGTCCGCAAGGCTTGGCAAAACAGTCTTTCAGAGGAATATTTATCAAGACGAACCTTATCTCGCTTGGAGAACGGCCAGATAGCTAGCTTCCAAACGCAGAGCAAGGCAAAACTTGGCACAGAGTCTCTTATAGTCACAAACAGAACTTTCCACTCTTGGATTGGATTTAGGATTTGGATTTATTCGACTTGTATGCCGCCCTATTCCCAAAGGGACTCAGGGCGGCTGAACAAAAGTGGAGGGGAACAAATACAAAAAAGTAAGACAAAAAATAAGACAACAATACAGACAATTTAAAAAAACACAACAAGCACAACCAATTCGAGTAGGGGTGGAACTCAACAACCCCAGGCCTGCTGGGACAGCCAGGTCTTAACGGCTATACGGAAGGCCTGAAGGGTGGCGAGGGTCCGAATCTCCACGGGGAGATGGTTCCAGAAGGCCGGAGCAGCCACAGAGAAGACCCTCCTCCGTGTGGTCGACAGCCGGCATTGGCCGGTAGAAACGACCAAAGGGACAAATTGTTTCCTGCAAAAGCCCCCTCCCCATTTGTTTCCCCTTTGTGTCCTATGGGAGGGGCCAATCACCTCCAAGGTGTGGCTTTACTCCCAAGTCGACCCTCCTTTCTTAGCTGTTCTTGTCTTCTGGCAGCTCTGCACATGTGCACACTGGGAACAGGCTCCAGCTGTTGTTCTGTCTCACTGCAGTCTACCTCGCTCTCTGCCTCCGACGCAGAGCCCTCGTCTGAGCTTTCCTCAGCCCCCAGGACTGGCCCATGTTCTTCCCCAACCTCCTCACTTTCCGACTCTCCTGCCACAACGGCGGGCCACAACAGCTGCTGGCTGCCTCAGAGCCCAACCTGGTCATCTGAAGAGTGGGAGGGAAGAAGCAGGGACCAAGCATAATTAGGAAGCAGTTGGTGATCCCATCATAAGATATCTGGAAGGCCTTCATGCCAACCAGAGCTGGACCTTGAGCGGCACTTCTAGAGCAGTGTTTCTCAACCTTGGCAACTTGAAGATGTCTGGACTTCAACTCCCAGAATTCCCCAGCCAGCAGATGCTGGCTGGGGAATTCTGGGAGTTGAAGTCCGGACATCTTCAAGTTGCCAAGGTTGAGAAACACTGTTCTAGAGGACTTTCTTGGTCTTCTGAGGCCTTCTGATGTTTGTTGAGTCCTTCTGATGGCCCTTTTCTTCTCCCCTGCAGGATGCCAGGCGAAGGTCCAGGTGTCTATGGTAGCCGAGATGGAGGTGGTTATGGGCCAGCAGGTGCCCATTTTCTGCCCTTACACGGGGGTGGAAGAGCAGGATTACCCTCTGGTGGAATGGTTCACTGTGAGTATTGTGGGTTTGCCAAGGGGAAGAGGGCACGGGAGTGGCCACGGATGAAGTCCACCTCTGTAGGAGCAGAGGTGGGAGGAACCCATAAACACGTCCGTGTGTCAAACTTCCAGATGGACAAGACGAAGAGCAAGCAGCTGCGTGTGGCCTACAACGACAAGGGCAAGGTAGGAGTGGACAGAGGAACGGAGTATACGGAACGGGTCTTCATGGATGCCAACAACAGCCTGGTCATCACTGCCATCGACGTGAATGACGAGAAGCTGTTCTCCTGCCAAGTGACCAGCGGTTTCGGAAGTGACACTGGGAGGACCCAACTCAAGGTCTTCGGTAAGAGAATCTATATTCGTTGTTTCTATCCCGCCGTTATTATTTCTTATGAATAACTCAAGGTGGCAAACATTTAATATCCCTCCTTCCTTATCTTTCCCCCACAACAACAACAACAACAACAACAACAACAACAACAACAACAACCCTGTGGGGTGGGTGGAGCAGAGAGAATGGAATTGGCCCAAAGTCACCCAAGTTGGCTTTGATGCCTAATGCGGAGCTAGAACTCACAGCCTCCTGGTGATTGGCCCTAGGTCTCCCACCTGGCTTGTGTGCCTAAGATAGAACTAGAATTCAGTCTCTCCTGGTGATTGCCCTAAGTCACCCATCCTCCATTCATGCCTAAGGCGGGACTAGAATTCACTGTCTCCTAGTGATGGGCCCAAAGATTCCCATCCGGCATTCATGCCTAAGGCGGGACTAGAACTCACTGTCTCCTGGTGATTGGGCCAAAGTCTCCCATCCGACATTCATGCCTAAGGCGGGACTAGAATTCACTGTCTCCTATTGATGGGCCCAAAGTCTCCCATCCGGCATTCATGCCTAAGGTGGGACTAGAACTCACTGTCTCCTGGTGATTTGCCCAAAGTCTCCCATCTAGTTTTCATGCTAAGGCAGGACTAGAACTCACTGTCTCCTGGTGATTGGGCCAAAGTCTCCCATCCGACATTCATGCCTAAGGCGGGACTAGAATTCACTGTCTCCTATTGATGGGCCCAAAGTCTCCCATCCGGCATTCATGCCTAAGGTGGGACTAGAACTCACTGTCTCCTGGTGATTTGCCCAAAGTCTCCCATCTAGTTTTCATGCTAAGGCAGGACTAGAACTCACTGTCTCCTGGTGATTGGTTGAAAGTCTCCCATCTGGCATTCATGCCTAAGGTAGGACTAGAACTCACTGTCTCCTGGTGATTGGCCCAAAGTCTCCCATCCGTCAGTCATGCCTAAGGCGGGACTAGAACTCACTGTCTCCTGGTGTTTGGCCCAAAGTCTCCCATCCATCATTCATGCCTAAGGCGGGACTAGAACTCACTGTCTCCTGGTGT